ATTAATTCATTTTAATTGTTTATTTTTTTTTTTTTTTACTTAAATCTATAAATATTTTTGAATAATATTCGTTAAAACATGGTCACCCAAAAATTAATGTAAAACCTTCGAAATTAATCTAAAAATTTAAAACCTATTTCATAAAGACACCTTACATACTAACTACATATATAAACATCTTCATAAACATATATACATATATAAACACATACTAAATTACTTAAACCCATCAAAATTTTTGAACTCAAACTCCGTGTTATAAACTTTTGGTTGACTCCTATTAATTCCAACTTCGAATAGTCTCAAGTCTTCTGGCGCCAGCTGACATCGAGGGACCAAATATTGTAAGTTGAATTTTCTTTTGTTTATCAACCAAAATTAATATACAATATAACTTAAAAATTAACGAAATATGAATATGGATTAATTGATCTTTGAGATTTAATTGTTTATTGATTATACTTTTTTATTCATATTACGTTTATTTGACACTATATTCTATACACCCTACACCATAATTTATATCATCCACCAATTTAAAAGAGAAAGAAAATATCTTGTTAAATTTTGTTGTTATAAATATATTAGTTGTTGTTTGAATGATTACCTTAATTATTTAGGGTGACCACTTATTTAGTTAAATTAGAGAACTTAATGTATAAATAATATAATTTGATTAATTTAATTTTATTGATATTTTGAAATATTTATTTAAATTAATTGATAACTCCTTTAAAATAAATATTTAATTTTGTTCGTTTGTAATGATTTGAAACATGAATTTTTGATTTTTATTTGTTGCTACGAAAAGTGAAGAAATAGGTATGGGGTAGATAAATAGGGTATTCCGTATTTAGTTTTCATTGGGCTGACAATCTATATATTTTATCTGTCAGCAAGGAGGGAGGGTTTAGATCAGTGTAGCTACTTCCAACTTTAGCTACACGACATTCATCGACTACTAATTTTCTTTTATTCTTCTATTATATCGTGATGTTTTTTTTTACTACCTAAGTTAAAATCTTTTGTTATGATTTCAATATTTACCTTATTTTATATTTGGGGAACTTAACACACCCACCCATACGACGAGCACAGCCGAAGTTAAAGGTAGTCCCGTTCCCAATCAATCATAACCATTCGGAATCGTTACAGAGATTTTTCAACCAAAATTAATATACAATATAACTTAAAAATTAACGAAATATGAATATGGATTAATTGATCTTTGAGATTTAATTGTTTATTGATTATACTTTTTTATTCATATTACGTTTATTTGACACTATATTCTATACACCCTACACCATAATTTATATCATCCACCAATTTAAAAGAAAATATCTTGTTAAATTTTGTTGTTATAAATATATTAGTTGTTGTTTGAATGATTACCTTAATTATTTAGGGTGACCACTTATTTAGTTAAATTAGAGAACTTAATGTTTAAATAATATAATTTGATTAATTTAATTTTATTGATATTTTGAAATATTTATTTAAATTAATTGATAACTCCTTTAAAATAAATATTTAATTTTGTTCGTTTGTAATGATTTGAAACATGAATTTTTGATTTTTATTTGTTGCTACGAAAAGTGAAGAGGTATGGGGTAGATAAATAGGGTATTCCGTATTTAGTTTTCATTGGGCTGACAATCTATATATTTTATCTGTCAGCAAGGAGGGAGGGTTTAGATCAGTGTAGCTACTTCCAACTTTAGCTACACGACATTCATCGACTACTAATTTTCTTTTATTCTTCTATTATATCGTGATGTTTTTTTTTACTACCTAAGTTAAAATCTTTTGTTATGATTTCAATATTTACCTTATTTTATATTTGGGGAACTTAACACACCCACCCATACGACGAGCACAGCCGAAGTTAAAGGTAGTCCCGTTCCCAATCAATCATAACCATTCGGAATCGTTACAGAGATTTTTGGCGCCCAACGTGGGGCCTCAGTTGTCGTAAGTTTAGAAATTCTATAGTGCAATGACATCTAGATGCTGAGGGCCCTTTGAATCCTATTGTGTGGAACATAGATATATGGATATCTCTTACTTTACTTTAATTTTTATTTCTTTAACTATTTTTTTATTATTTGCCAATTTGGATGTAATTGTTTGTTGTGTATACGACTTTCAATTCCGAAATTGACATTTTATGAGATAATAGTTATCAGGGTTTGGGTTCGAGCTAGAGAAGTTGATCTGGTTTAATATTGGTTCAATGGTCGTCCGACTCTTACTCTTCTGTTAATTCCTTCTTTATTTTCTTTTATGATAATTTGGATTTTCTTTTCTTCTTCAAAATTACTTTTCTTTCATTTTGATTTTCTGGTGTGTTGGATTTAAAGTATATTGATGGTTTTGATTACTTTCCAACATCAGATAACCAATATGTTTCTGTTTTTATCACACGAATTTCTAGCGGACATAGATTTTGACTTGTGTCGAAAATTTCCCGGAAGTTTGAGTGAGTTCACCTTTGTCTTCTGTCTTCTCTTTCATACTGTAGTTGATGAGGAATCGAAATATTCGATTAAATTATTATTTTTTTTATTTTTTTTTTGTTCTGAAACCCCTACTTACTTTCTTCACCGAGTAGTAGTAATATTTTCTTCTAAGTGTAATAAAACATTTTTGTTAACAATTTGGAAATCTTTCATTATTTGGATACTTATTGTAATTTGTTTCCTCTACTAGATTCATTTTGTAAGGTTTTCGGTAAATTTTGTTTTTATTAGGATTTGTTAGTATGCCTTTAGTTCGTAGTACTGACGATATTCCGGCTCACGTTGAGCAGGAGAACGTTAATGCGGAAGATCCAGGTGCTGCTGGAGATTCAGAAACTCCATTAAAAAAAAATCTCTGTAACGATTCCGAATGGTTATGATTGATTGGGAAAGGGACTACCTTTAACTTCGGCTGTGCTCGTCGTATGGGTGGGTGTGTTAAGTTCCCCAAATATAAAATAAGGTAAATATTGAAATCATAACAAAAGATTTTAACTTAGGTAGTAAAAAAAAAACATCACGATATAATAGAAGAATAAAAGAAAATTAGTAGTCGATGAATGTCGTGTAGCTAAAGTTGGAAGTAGCTACACTGATCTAAACCCTCCCTCCTTGCTGACAGATAAAATATATAGATTGTCAGCCCAATGAAAACTAAATACGGAATACCCTATTTATCTACCCCATACCTATTTCTTCACTTTTCGTAGCAACAAATAAAAATCAAAAATTCATGTTTCAAATCATTACAAACGAACAAAATTAAATATTTATTTTAAAGGAGTTATCAATTAATTTAAATAAATATTTCAAAATATCAATAAAATTAAATTAATCAAATTATATTATTTAAACATTAAGTTCTCTAATTTAACTAAATAAGTGGTCACCCTAAATAATTAAGGTAATCATTCAAACAACAACTAATATATTTATAACAACAAAATTTAACAAGATATTTTCTTTCTCTTTTAAATTGGTGGATGATATAAATTATGGTGTAGGGTGTATAGAATATAGTGTCAAATAAACGTAATATGAATAAAAAAGTATAATCAATAAACAATTAAATCTCAAAGATCAATTAATCCATATTCATATTTCGTTAATTTTTAAGTTATATTGTATATTAATTTTGGTTGATAAACAAAAGAAAATTCAACTTACAATATTTGGTCCCTCGATGTCAGCTGGCGCCAGAAGACTTGAGACTATTCGAAGTTGGGATTAATAGGAGTCAACCAAAAGTTTATAACACGGAGTTTGAGTTCAAAAATTTTGATGGGTTTAAGTAATTTAGTATGTGTTTATATATGTATATATGTTTATGAAGATGTTTATATATGTAGTTAGTATGTAAGGTGTCTTTATGAAATAGGTTTTAAATTTTTAGATTAATTTCGAAGGTTTTACATTAATTTTTGGGTGACCATGTTTTAACGAATATTATTCAAAAATATTTATAGATTTAAGTAAAAAAAAAAAATAAACAATTAAAATGAATTAATTAAAATGAATACACCAAAAATGACAAAAATTTCAATTTAGAATTTAGGAGATGAGACAATTTCGGATAAAAATTCTATTATAAAATAAAATCCAAAATTTCCAAATGAAAAGATATAAATTTCGGACAAAAATTGTGATATATGAAAGCTTTTATAACGTTATTTTAACAATTTAGGCTATTGATTCTATAATAAAGCGTACAACCGAATCTTCTATCTGGTCACCCCAATATTTAGAATAGGAGGATTGGTCGGTCCTCCTATTCTCTTTCCAGAGAATAATAAAAAGTAATTTCACTGTCTTTATGACACTCCTTGATAGAATTTTGAACGTTTTTGGGTTGCACTTTAGTAAATTCCAATATTGGGTAATTAATATATTATTCCAAACAATGCTTCTTTTCCCGATTTATAAGTCAACTATACACAAAATAATTCTCTCTTGGAACAAAAGTTCAACCATCAGAATGCACTACTGGCCATAACATTAATATATGTAATTTCTAAATTCCTAAACATAAAAATTCATTAATTTCCGTATTACATGAAAACGACAATATTACTCTTACCAATAAACTTATTTAATTATGGTATTTTCCTCGTAAACAAATTCCTTGCACTCAAATAAAAAAAAAAAATCTTACTCGTCGAATAACAAAATTTTTAACAAAAATGTTTCTTTTTCTTGCTACCTTCTTTGTACAATTGTATTTTTGAAATGAATTTTCTTCCAAATTTTAAAATTTTTCTGATAAATAAAATCAAAGCCTATTAGATTTGAATTTGAAGTAAATTTTAAGTATTCTCAATACAATATTATATCAAGTACACACTTGAACCAAAAGTAAGTGAAAAAAAATCAATAAAATAAATTAAATACAAATAATCGCCATCACACAGTCCACTATTCCTTGGTAAGAATTTCGTTGTCCATCACTTTAATAAAAAATTTAAAGAAATTCTAATTTTGTTTGTTTTATTTATTCCGTTTCTTTTCATAATCTTTATTAAATTATTCTGAGTACCAAATATATGAGATTTTGATTAGGCTCAGAGAGTTTAACATCGTTTCCTGTTGCCTTTTCCTTAAGAGATTCACCCAAACTCTTGGTCGGATCAACCAGTGACCTATGGATTTTGTTTCGGCTCAGGGAGTTCAGCAACGCTTCCAAATCCAATTTAATCCAAACATTTCTTTAAGCTCAAAGAGATTTACCCAAACATAATGTTTTTTTATTTTGGACACCATCACATTAAAAATCTTATTATTATTTCGTCTCCAAGTAAATTCGTACTTTTTTATTTATAATATTAATAAATAGTTCTTCTCCAATTATTGATGCTTTTTCATCCATTTTTTGTAACATTAATTTTTTAATAGGGAACATGTTATTGAGTGTTTTATAATCTATTTTTTTTTATAACTTTGATCGGCCTTAGTTTCGAACCTTAGTACATATTTGCTTTTGTGATTCTGTAAATTATAAAAAACATTTTTCAAATTTATTTATTTATATACATATTTAAACTTAACATTTATTTTAGATCTTTCTTCAATTTGCTCATTCTGAAAAATATAAATTAAAATTAATATAAAGTTTGATTACGATGTTTTTTTCAAGAAAAAATGTGTAGTGTTGTAATTCTAAACATACCGTTAAATAGATCTAATTTTGTTTATATTCTCTTAATGCATAAAATGTTTGCATTTGTATTTTAATTAACCAATTAACGCCGAATAAGTAAAAATAGAGCAATTTTAGAAAAATTCTAAAAGAGCGATATAAAAAATCTGTGAAGTGATACTTTCAGAAAAGAAAGGTGGATCCGAGTAAAACAAAAATCTGTTTTTGAAATGTTCCAAACACCTCCAAAATCTTGAAAAACGCTTAAAATCCGGTTTTTCGTACCTATAAGCGCTTATACGTCAGTAACTTAGTTGAATCTCAACCGATTTTAAGTTCAAAAAGCAGAAGCTTAAGCCTTTATATATGATGTTTAGATAACTTAGAGAATTATGTGTGCATTTCATCGGCAAACATAGTTTTGATTTTAGTTTTTCACCGTCTTGCAAGTTTGGATATGTTTTTACATAGTATTTTATATATGAAACATTTTATTTATTAATGCAATATAAAACTATATCAGTTCATGAGTAAATAAGTCTTATTTGACCCTAGTCCCCATACAAACTCTCCTTCATAAAATGGCTTTAATTCAATAATTCTATTAATTATATTAATATCGCAATGAAATTCTTCATAAATAACTTTATATACATAAATATAAACCTTTCACAAAATTTTATAAGGATTGGCCCATATTTAACCATGTCCCCCATATAAAGCTTATTTCAGAAAATCAATTTTTGACCAATTTTGTATTAAGAAAAAGATCAATAACGTCGTCAATTGCTAATGGATTTTAAAAAGAAATGTTGCGTTTTACTCATGAGTAGATATTGTTTTCTAATGCATTAATAAATAGTTATGTTCCTATATAAAATACTTTGCGAAAACATCTCCTTCATAAAATGGCTTTAATTCATACAAGCGCAGCGAGCTCTCAATTGAGCTCTCTGGTTTATTTTCCAACACACGTACGTAACTTCCAAACTAAGATAATGAGAGCTTGGAAGTTTTTTGATGGAGTTACACATAGAGAAATCTCTGTTGTTAAACATAAAGATAGGTTCTTGTTTGCCGAAAGTTATTTTTGCATATGAGAATATTTGATATTTAATATTTATTTTAATTTTAAAATATCTCAAGAAAAATTATCAGTAAATACGTAAAAAAAATTTTTTCTGAGTAATTGTAAAAAATAATGGGAATTTTAATAAACGACATAAACTCCTAAACAAATGTAATACCCGCTACTATGTTAATTCTTGATATACAAGCCTATTTACAACATTATCCTGTAAATATTGTCAGTTAATTGATATTTATAGTACTGTATATGAGCGCAAAAGTTGTTGGAGGATATTTTTATACACCTAACGATCCATTATTTGTTTCATTTTTCAAAATCTTCCATTATTTCTTTACTTTTATTTACATGGAGTATATATTAAGATTCATTTTGTATCTAAAATTGCAAATAAATGCATTTCCGAGAGCAATGTTCAAAAATAATAGGCCGTGTTTAAATTTTTTCCAATCCTATTCATAAAAAATCCAGAAATTTTAATGTTTTTTTGTTATTTATAATACAGTACACTGTAAAGTAGTGAACTCACTACAACAAAAACACTAAAAAATTTTGTAAACTTTTCTTTCAGTGCATGGAATGCAAAAACACAAAGTGAAGTAGTGTTAGTGTGGAAAGAAAATTTTACGCTCTGCCGATGTGTGCTTTAATTCAACAATTCTATTAATTATATTAATATCACAATGAAATTCTTCATTAATAACCTTATATAAATATTAACCTTCCACAAAATTTTATGAGGATCGGCCCATATAAAGCTTCTTTCAGAAAATCAGTTTTTGACCACTTTTGTATTAAGAAAAAGATCAATAACGTCGTCAATTGCTAATAGATTTTACTCATGAATAGACATAGTTTTCTAATGCATTAATGAATAGTACGGTTCCTATATAAAATACTTTGTAAAAACATCTCCAAACTTTGAAAACAGTGCAAAAGTAAAATCACAAACACGGTTGCCCATAAAATGCACAGATATTTCTTTACATCATATATGACATTATGAAGGTCTCTGCTTTTGCTTTATAAATCGGTTGAGAAACTTAAAATCGGTTATATTCAACTAAGGTACTGGATTATAAGTGCTGAAATATACAAGAAACCGGTTTTTACGCGTATTTATAGATTTTGAAGGTAAACTTCGGATCCACCCTTCAGAAAATTAGTACCATTACCCAGGTATTTAAACTTTCGTTTATTTTGTCTCACTGCGTAATGTAAGAATCAATCTATGTACATATTTAAAATAATTTTTTCGTTAATATTAGGTGGGGAACTAGTGGGTCAAAGTTGTGCAATTATACAAAATCACAAAATTCGAAAATAAATGGTTCTAGAAAACGTAGGAAGTGGAATTTCCCCTGCCCTCCATGCGTCTAGTAGTTTTTGATGTCCTCTATCAGTGATAAAAATACCCAAGTTATTTCCCCACTTCCCTAAGAAACAAGTATGATTTTGTCGATTGAGTATAAAAATACCGACTTCGGCATATGTAGGTTCTAAAACATATGAATAGTTATTAATTTCATTTTCAAGTAAAAATTTTGTTTCTTTTTTAGAAAATCACAATAAAAGTTTTTGATTGATTGGTCAGTTGTTGCAAGAGAGAAAAATAAGAAAAGAGAAAATTTTATACTCTCGCATTCACTAAAACACAGGGATGGATAATTTTAATTTTGAAATTGTGGTATTTTAATTAAAAGTAATATTTTAGATCATAATTTGTATTTCATTTAAACTTCTTTACTTATATCGATTTAGGAAATCATTTTAGATTAAAATTTGTTTCTTTTTGGAAATTTACCTTTTTAAAAGAAAACTGAGATTTTATTTGTCAATTTTATTTTGAGATTAAATTTAAACCAATTTGCCAATTAGCTAATTAAAATTTAATTCGTGTAAAGGGATTCACATAGCGGTTTTTTAGTGATTACTCAAAGTAATTCATTACATGATCAATTACTTGTAATGTGTAATTGTGCAATAACCAATTACATGTAATTGTAATTGATGTTTTTGCAATTACAATTACATACTTGTAATGTGTAATTGAGCAATAACAAATTGTTATTAGATTATTAATAATTACAAATAACAAGTAATTGTAATTAGAATTCTCCAATTGTAATTACAAATAATTGTAATTAGCAAAACTTCAATTACAAAACTTTAATTACAATAACAAGTAATTTTAATTGGTAAAGCTTCAATTAAAATTATATTGCTTGGAGTCATTAATTTAAAAAAATGTAAATCAGAATCGGAGTTATCATAGAACCTAATGTCGGAAGTGTTTTCAAAAACGACAACAAAGTACATTGGTCTTACAAAGTCAAATTTAATAAAAAATGATGACATTGAATTTTATGAGACCAATGAATTTGTTGATTACACTATGCAACAAAATGAGGGTCATGGTCTGGGGGGTCAAAAATTCTCATGATAAGTACTAGGTTAGAGAATTAAAACCCCCAAACCGTTTGGCGTTGACAGGTCAAACTTTATGTTATCGGTCATTGAAAGTTGCGATTTTTAACACTAAGCTTATTATTACTTTCAGAATTCACTTCAAAAACATTAAGGGTTTTCATTTAAATGCTTATGTTTCCCATTTGTGCAAGTGTGCAAGTTTATTCGATTTGTTTCATGAAACCCCTTTTCAAATTCTGTTCAATTACAATATTTGTAAACATTTTAAAAATATGTCAAATGAAATTAAAAAATAAAAATTTAATTTTTAATCAAAAAATTATAGAAAAATCCTTTTAAAATGTGAATATTCAAGTGCTTTAGTAAAAAAGTGTTCAATACAGAGCGGTTCTATTAAACGCAGAGACTGTTCATCAATTCCCATACAATTCAATTGCGAGAATGGAAACATGCACAGGTTTCACAGTTTACGAGGGTTTTTAACGTTTAAATTAGAACCCTTACTATACCCTACGCCACTATAGTGGGGAGGGTATTATGCGTTTGTGCTGATGTCGGTAACACCCAAAAATATTGGTCCTACACCCACCTTAAAGTATACCAGAATCACTTCCTGAGTCGACTAAGCTATGTCCGTCTATTCGTCCGTCTGTCTGTCCATGTAAACCTTGTGCGCACTCTACATGTCGCAATTTTTGAGATAATTTGATGAAATTTGGAACATGCGCTTCTCCTTTCAAGGACGAATGCTATTGAAATTGGTTGATATCGGCCCATTGTTTCACCTAGCCCTCATACAACCGGACCCCCGAATAGGGCTTTTGACCTCATAATTATGTTAAATGATCTACTATCTCTACAAAAATTGGCAAAATTTAGTTTTATATATGGTTTAGTATTTATAGTGATTTTTGTAAAGATCGGGCATTATTTGACACTAGCCCCCATACAAAGTCACCCTCAGAAAATGACTTGAATGTCCACAATTCACATATAAACACTAGTGTCAAGATTAAATTTGGCACAAATGAGTTTTATATAAACATAATTCCCAACAATAAATTTTATAAGGATCGGCCCAAGTTTTGCCCTAGCCCCCATATAACCGGACCTCCCTATTTGGGTCTTTTAGCTCATAACTTCCCCATGCATCCGGACCTTCCGATTTCGTCCATTTATCTTTTAACTATATCCGGCCCTGCAGCTTTATAGGGAGCAAAGCTCTTGATTGTCCCTTTAACCATGTCAGATGTAATAACTATTTCCGTTCATCTATGTTATTCGATATACCGGGTGGGAAATGACAGTCCATTAGGAGTTTCATTGTCTCCT